ATTTCTCTCAACTTTTCTCCACAACAAAGCTATAGAAACCTTTTTTCAAAGCCTTCAGATGCATAATTTAAGAATAACAACACTAAGTGACTTATCGTAATCCTAAATTTTCCTGGAAATGCCCAACTCCCCGGTTGACGCTCCATGTGTGTTTTTATTTCTGCAGTGAGACAAACTCACCTCACATCGTCCAGAGTTTGTTCTTTAAAGCTTCTATTAAATCCACCATGTTTACTTATTTTAACATGTTTCCTCTACGCTGCAAGAGTTAAAGTTTACATCATGAAGTAAAACTTCGGCAGACACGTTTGTTTATATTTGGCCGCTGCGCACCGGGTGTGGGGAGGGGGGACTCGGTGCTGCACACAGACAGCTGGTATGATCAGCTCTGAAAAGCATTGATCACAATTTGCAGATCACTTTTATTTTTCACGGAGATCGGGCGCGGATTCCTCTTCCGTCGGCATTCTGGGAATCGAAACTAGGAATCGAAATAAAAAACTTTGAACGATTTTGGGGAAAATGAACAGTTGGAACCAGTTCCAATCGATGCCCGATGCCCAACCCTAATTTAGGACTGTCATCAGTATTAGATTCACGACACTTTGAAATGTTACTTCAGTGGGTTATCTCTCTCCTTTAACAAAATCGTTTAAATTCAGTCCAGTTTATTTATGTAGTGCCAGATTGCAACAAGAGTCGCCTTAATGCACTTCACAAAAATAAACATCCCAACTGAACCTCCTTCATTATTCAAATTAAACATTTTCTATGAAGACAGATTGCATCAAGTCACTGACCTGTTGTTTCAGAGACTTTACGGCAATTGTTTTACCCCAACTTATAAATGTAGTCGCTTCTAATTTCTTAAACAACCATATTTAAAGACACATGGTGGTCATGGAACAGATGTCTGTTTGAGAAGGGTCAGCTCATTGGCATGTATCAATATGAGAAAACATCCAAGGAGATTGTAGAAACAACTAAATTGGGCTCTCTCCCTTCGTCGTGGGGCTCCTCTGTGTGTAACTCGCATCCGAATAACAAATATTGTAGATGTTCAGTGTTATAGTCAGAATGAGCAATCATAACATCCACCAACCAACATGAGTAAAGACTACCAACAGGAGAATGCTGAAGGCATTTTGGCACCGTTTGGAGTGTCACTACTTCTCATTCAGATGCAATATCCTTATAAATACTGAAGGTGGTTAATCAAGCTTTCTATTAGAATATAAATACACCAGCAAAGGTATGGAAATGGCTGACGAAATCAGATTTCCATACAGTTTATTTTTCATGCTGTTTCAAATATTTTGTTTGTTCTCTGATTGAAGGTCTATGTTGTGTTTTTTTCCAACTTATTGAGATTCTGTGGTTGGGTACTTAACCCTCAGGCTTCATTAGGAACATTTAGTATTAGGGTTTCATTTTCAAACTAAAAGCCTAATATTACAGAAAGCATAATTATTTGTTGCAGATGTTACAGAATCAAAAACTGATTTTGAAAGGAAGTCAATGGTACGTTTTTGTCCACTAAGACCAATCTGTAGCTACACAAAAACTATTGATGTAAGTATTTTTTTTTGATATTTCATAACATGACCAAGACTGATTTATAATAAATGCCCCAGGAAGAAAATTTTGTTTTTTTCTCTTTTTTTTTGGGGGGGGGGGGGGGGGGGGATAACTCTTTTTTTGTTTTTTTCATAAATCACAGCAATGACTTAGAGCAGGGGTGGGCAATTATTTTTTTCCATGGGGCCACATGGGAAACAGAAAATATTGTGGAGGGCCAGGCCAAAAGGCTGAAGTCAATTATGCATAATATTAATGGTATTTCTTTATAAAAAGCAGTAAATACCATTGTTTTTTCAAGCTGGTAAGAGTAGACTATATATCATAAATGAGCAAAAAGGAAAAAGTGAGGTTGGCTTACAAAAATGTGATTTATTCAAATTTCCCAAGGCAATGTGTGCGCATTTGGTTTTTGTTAAACATTTGTGACTTATATTAGTTAACAGTTTCAGTCATATTCACTCCAAAACGCATTTTGAGTTTCAAATATTGTTGGAAAGAGGTTCTTAGCATTCTACAGACACACAGTATTGTCTGTAAAATAAAATCACTGAACTGTGATCTTGAGAAAGAGGTTTAAAAAAAAGTGTCCCAGTTCACTGCTAGTTGCCTACATTTGTGGTCCAAACACCTTATTTCGTGTTTTTAAGCGATTTTTTTCTTATTCAGTGAGAGAAATCTAGTCTCTGCTGGGCTTTAACGAGTGCATCAAAGTCAGGTTGAATGTCTGAGGTGGAGATGCGAAGCACAGCTGACAAATGATCATCAGCGAGAGAGGATCTATACCTGGATTTTGTAAACTTCATCATTGAAAATGTTTGTTCACAAATGTAGGTAGAGCCGAAGAGAACCAACATCTTCTGAGCATGTCTCCTCAGGTTTGGAAAGTTCTTCTCCTTAAGAGAAGAGTAGAAATCCAGCAGAGATCCTGACTTAAAGTGCTCTGCCAGTACTGAATCAGACTGCAGGCCAATGAGTTCCAGCTGCACATCACTGGGTGCATTATCCACACTGCAGGTAAAGGGAGAGGAAATCATGTGCATTTCATCCTCGATTGTTCTGAGATCTTCAAAACGCCTTGAAAACTCACCATGTAATGCTCCTAACATGGATGAGTACCTGCTGAGGTGATCAGCTGATGGTGTGACTTCGTTCAGTGTTTGCATGTGAGTGAGAGTGTTGCTTTCCAGTTGACTTGAAAGAAACTGCAGCTTTCTCATGAAGGCCTTCACGAGGCTGTGCATTTCATGAACAAAAAGGCCCTTGCCTTGCAGTTTGGTGTTCAGTTCATTCATCAGTGCAGTCACATCAACAGCAAATGCAAAATCTGCCATCCAATCCTCATCTGAGAACTCTGGAATGTCTTTGCCTTTCCTCTCGCAAAACTCGAATCTCTGCTTTCAAGTCCCAAACCCTCTTCAGCACTTTCCCCAGGCTGAGCCATCTGACAGCTGTGTGGAGTCCTCCAAAAGGGCGACAAACTGTCAGTGATTCATTGCCCGTGCCCTGATGAAGTTTATTATTTTAGTAACAACATCAGTAACATGGTTGATTTTTAGCACTGACTTGCACAACACATGTTGGTGTATGATACAATGCAAAAACACCTATTTTTGATCTGCATCGATTTCTGTCATTTTATCTTGCATGCGTTTCAAAAGTCCGACATTTTTCCCTGTAAGATTTGGACAACCGTCTGTTGTGACACCTAACAGTCTCTCCCATTTCAATCCCAGAATGTCCATGCACACATTTACCTCTGTAAAAAGATCACTCCCTGTCGTTGTCCCTTTCATCGACCGCATTGCTGCCAGCTCCTCTGTGAGCTCCGTTATCCCCCGGACATCACAGCTCTCGTCTAAGGCCAATGAGAAAAAGTCAAAACTTGCCACTTCACGTTGCAGCTGAAGCTCCAGGTTCCCCACGGTTCACCTGGACAGCGGGGTTTGCTCAAATGCGCCTTTTTTTTCAGGACATATTAGTGCAGCAGAGTCCACCATGCACTCTTTGACAAACTCTCCCTCCGAAAACGGCTTGCTGTTTTAAGCTATTTTGTGGGATATCACAAAGCTGGTCCTGGCTGCTGCATCCCTGGATGTGTGAAGCTTAGTAAAAAAGCCTTGCTGCTTTTGCAACTTTGCTAGCAAAGCTTCAGATGTCCGTGCCCTCTCAGCATCAGACAAGTTCTTGTATTTTTCCGAGTGTTTCTTGTCGTAATGCCGACTCAAATTGTAGTCCTTAAACACGGCAATCTCCTCCCCGCAAACCAAACACACGGCTTTACCTCCGACTTCAGTAAAAAAAAAATACTTAGCAGTCCAATTTTTGTTGAAAATCCTGCATTCAGCATCTATCTTTCTTTCTTTTTTCTGGGGGCTGCAATCACCATGTCAACCGCGGGCACTTGTTGCTATACGTATTGCGTCATTGTGCACGTAAAAACAACTTCAAAATAAAAGCTATGCAGCCTTAGTCCATCCATGAGGTAAAATGAGAAAATACATTTATTTTGTAATTTCCAATTAACCTTACGCGGGCCGTAAAATTCCCAGGTTTGACTTAGAGTATTCAAACCGGCATTTCAAGAGTTAAAAGCCTGAAAATTATCTAAATTTTTATATGTTTCAGCAAGGCTAAAGTTGTTTAACAGATCTATGAAAAAAAAGCAAGAAAAATATGTATGTATACACTTTTATAGCCACATTTACAAGCGGACATTTTTGTCCTCATGACAAAATCTGGTGATCTTTGCTGCAATGAGGCTCCTGGGTTCTTCCATTGGTGTGTCTAAACCAAAAATGCTCTACATGAAACTCAAAAAAATCTGCAAAGAAACACATTAAAATGAAAACAGTGCATTGGCCTAAATCATCAAACTATTACATACAATGTACACATGAACTGTGTAGAAGAAGTACTGTAGTGATATTGATTCTTTTCGATTTGTTTTTCTGATTCCAGCATCAACGAGTTACAATCTCTGTTGCTCCTACAGCTGAAACGATCAATAAAAACATGAATAAATACATTTTCTAATGTAAATGGGGAATTGATCTTTTAAAGTAGTGGTAATCCCCTGTCAGAGTCTTACTCCACCCACATTTCATATTTGAAAAATGCGGCCCAAAGAGGCGTTTCCTGTAAGACCGAGAAGGCGGAGCTACGACCGTGATTGACATACTGAAATTTGAATACAGATGGCGACGGAGAGCGACAGTAGCTCAGAGCAGTCATTCGAGGTGGAGGACTTTTCCCCACCTTCTTCCCCAGAGGATAGGGAGGAGGGCTTATTGGGGGAAGCAAGCGGTCCTGAACCGTATCTTTTTGAGCCACTAGCTCGTGAGTTGTCAGAGGCCCCTGGAGTCGAGCCAGCAGGAGTATCAAGGCATATAATGGGTCCAGTCTCTGAGGGGTAAGTAGCTTTTAGCCACAGCTAGCTATATTTAGCTTAGCTAAAAGTAATTTTGTATGACTGCCTCAACAGGTGCACCTTTGGCCACTGCACATCATTGTCTGCCAGAGAAAATGTGTGCTGCAGAGAAACGCCCAAGGTATAAAAATAAAAGTACCCCACCATGAGAAAAGCATTCTGTAATGTACACATTTGTTACACAATCACTAACATCATACTAATATTGAACTCTTATAGCCCTGATATCAGTTGTTCTTTGTCATAGGTAATGCTCAGGTGTCAGCAGGTGGGTGTAACCTCCTGCATAACAGAGCATCCTGGTTTTGAGGCTGTTGCTCTGAATCCCTACGTGTTGCAGGCAGTTTATGGCACCTTTCTGCAACTCTATGGGGAGATGCAGGAGACTACGCTCAACAGGTAAGACAACTGTCAAAATAATTTTTTTATGAATACTTTATAACTCATACCACCTCTTTCTCAGCTGTTACAGACATCTGGCGTACCGGAATGTGGTCAGGTGGTGTTGGGGTTACCTGGGACAGCACGTTCATGTTGTGATCCCGTCATGCGCTGTCTCCAGAATAAGGCAGGAGTTCCCAGAAGACGGTGCATACAAAGGATTCCTCCCTCCTCTGAACTAATATATATTTTTTGGATTAAATAAATGTTATAATATATATTTCCTGTATTGATTCCTGTCCATAAAAAGCTGCATAAATCACAAAACGGTAAATGCACTTCTTTACACTTTGACATTATTTATATATACACACATATAGCCACACACTTTTCAAATGAGCTCTTACAACAGTAAGGTTCTAATTCGGGGTTAATTAATGCTGCTGTAACAAGTGAGTTTACACCCTGTGTGATTAATGAAGTCTAATCTAGAGCAGGTTCAATTAGGTAAAAATGAATGATAATTTAATAAATGTGATATATGTATTTATACAAATCAAAATATCAATATAATTGTATTTAAAATGACACAATTGCGCTTTAAAGATAACATTTATTATAGCTACTACTAAGACAACGTTAGATTACAATCTGATCATAACTTTCATGATTTTTGACAAAACTCTAAACCACAAGCAGAGATTCTGGAGCCATGTGAGGATAGGTTGGGCCATCAGTGATGTTTCTTTGGTTCCTTAGACTGGAGGTAGCTTTCACTGTGATGACAAACGTGGAGATGGATCCCGGGAGCACAGGCTTTTCTGTTACAAGATCAGGAGGCTCTGAGGAAAAAAGTAATATTAGTATGACTAGTATGACTTACAAAAGCAAGACTGGTGAGTTTTGTTATGTTACATACGGCCAAGATTTTCAAGTTGTATGGGAGCCACAGAGCAGAAAGGTTGTAGAGATCAATAGACATCTGGGAGGTGGACAGCATGAGTCACGAGTGGATGAGCATAAAGATCCATAATGACGACAGGTAACTCCTCTGTCGTACAGTGGTGTGCAGCCTGGCTGAGGAGGATAAAAGGAAAAACCACACAGAGTAGAGTACTAACTAATAATTACAATCTCTTGTTGTGTAGCTCACCTTACGTGCACTTTAAAACCTGGACCTGTGCCTGCTCACAGCATCCCGTTTATCTGGTCTTTGGAACTGGGCACAGAGCGGTTCTGGAACCGGAATTTTGTCCGAGTACTCCTGATATGGGAGAGGATCCACCACCACAGAGTCGAACAGCAGATCTATAAGCTTGTGCACATATACTGGAAAAGGGTTTTCAGTATTACAATAGCTCTCCATGACATCATTTTGGTTTTATCATACAATATATGACATACATGAGGTTGGATTGGTCTTCAGGGCTCTCACTGTGTAGTCTCCACGTTTGTACTTTGGGTACACTACAGCATATCTCAGCTCACCAGTTGCTGTTGCTGCATGTGAGCGTGCTGCATTTTCATTATAGTGCATTGCAGCAATTTGTAATCTGAAATAATCAAATAAACAAACCATGTAGATTTTAGGCAAAATTCTACATTTCATTCAAAAATTTGAACAATTAGAGGCATTAATTTCAACATTTGTTGTATTCATTACCTAGACAGCATTCCTTTGAAGGAGAAGACCTGACTTTTTGGAGTAAATCTGATGATGAGACTGTGGAAAGCCTCCAAGGTGGATGTGTGGTACTGAGGGCTTATCTTCTCTACGTCCTTCACAAACCGTGGAGCTAACAGAATGGCAGTGAGCTTCTCACATGATGCTGTGCCTACGTAGAAAATGTTAATTACAAAAATTACAATTTGATCAACTTTAGAATGTTGCTATTATTTCATTGAGAAAAAGTTACCCATAGCTGACATTTTTAGATGACAAATGTATGAAAGAGTGACTAATAGTGCTGTAGACAGGTGTGGTAATTACTTACGGCATTTTAGTACATATTATGTCAATTATGGCTGTTCTGCCTAAAACCATGAGTTGTGTGGCGCACTCTTCTGTTTAAATTTCTGCACAGCATTTTATTCTTAGTAATTAATTGCTGTTGGCCAAATGGTGGTGTGTGACCTTAGCAGCCACATGTGACATCTGTTACTCTCATGCTCCAAAAATATTTCTCCATGTTGAAGGAGGTGAAGACAAATATTCTGTTGTGGGGTGACGTGTTTTAAATGTAAAGAAACCAAACAGTAAAGGCTCAGCTGTAATGAGTACATGCTACACTTACTTGGTTTGAGCCACTGTCTTGCCTGTTCTCCATCCAGAGGTGCATGCAGACAGCTAGGGAACAGGGCGTTGTCATGGCTGTGCACATTTTGGATGTGGTTGGCAACTGAAGTCCACTTTGCTACTGCCTCCTGTCCTGAGGAGGAACTGGATGCTGACCAGTAGAGGTGGTTCACCACACTTTGCTTCCACAGTCTCACATCCTGGGTCGTCTTTCTCTTCCCCAGCTCTTCGATTTTCTTACCAATTCCTGGAGAGCCAAACAGACCCACATTTAAAATAGAAAAAAAAATCCTGTAATATTCACTATATACATCCACAAAGATTACCTTTTCCCATGTGCCAGGGGTCAAAGTAGTGACTGATTTCCTTTTTTTCCTCCCGCAAATACTTCTGCACTCCTGTGTGGCGGTCAGTCACGACTTGCTGCACATCGACCCCCCTCTCCAAAAGTGTGCTCAGACTTCTCACAAATCCCTCCTTCTCCATTCGCACACTATTTCCAACTTCATTGCTCTGAAAATAAACATAATTTTCCATTGATCTGTGAATAATTAACCATGAAATGCATTGGAATCATCAGGTAATGTTGTACCTGTACAAGTTGGATATCAGTAACTTTGTTTCTTTTGAGATCCATCATGGTGCAGCTGCCATATTTGGCTGAGTGTCCTTCAAGAAATGCAAGTTATTACTTAATTTACATTTGATAGCAAAGGAATAAAATAAATAAATTTAAAAGTATTCACCAGGTGAATCAGCTCGCATGTCACCACCAAGAGTCACAGGTCCAGATTCAGTAGCCTCCTGGATGATATCAGCTTGCTCTAGCTGCCACTGCCAGCTCACTGTTGGAATTAACAGCTTTGCCTGATGTCGAAAGAATGTCTGCTTGGACAGTCCCTGCACATTGAAGGCACCCAGGAACTAAAATATGAAAAGTTACGTCATGAAATGAGAGACGCACAGACCTTATCAAAACCAACCTAAACAGTTTTGGCCTATACCTTAGAAATCTGGCTAAATGATGAGCCTGTGAAAAGGACAGCAGCACAGAGCTGGAGGTTTCCTGCTGGGATGCTGTTCACCATGGGCTGACTGGACCACTTATTGTAGTGCTCACAGCATGAACACCGTTGTGTCACACGGAGCAGTGTGCCGACTGTTGTCGTGTTCACAACACAACGACCGGTACAAACGGGACACCTTCTGAACAGCCCCAGCAACTGTTTCTCATGAACAATGTACTTCTTGTCCTTTTGTGGATGGACCTCAGTGAAAGAGCTGTATAGAACACATACATTTATATATATGGTCATAACTAAAAAATTCTAAAATGTTATAATTTTTTTTTACCTTGAACAGTTCACTGAGCTTCCACTGTCATTGAGGTGGAAGCTGGGATCAACAACAGACACCTCATATCGTGGTCTTTTCAGGGGTGTGGACGCAGCTCTGGGACTTTGTGGAAGATGAATTTCCGTCACGGTCCCTGTGTCACAAGACACACTGCGGCTGTGAGCTTTAAACTGGGTGGCTATGTAAAATACAAAGAAGCAGCACATTTATAAATGTTTAAAAGAGCATAAAATCACGTGTAACAATAATCTGCAAAACAAATAAAAACTAGAAGGTAATAATAAAATGTTTACATAGAAGATTATTAAAAATAATTCACCTTTGCTACGTCGATAAGGCTTTACATGAGCCTGGACAAGTGCATTTTTGCAGATTACTAAATCAGTCTGACAGCCAACGTCTTGGGTAGATTTAGCCTGAAAAAAAAATAGAAGCACATTGTTGTTGTTGTTTATAAAGTCAGATAATATACAAAAGAAACTGTCCGAAATATATATATATATATATATATATATATATATATATATATATATATATATATATATATATATAGAGGCGCTTTATGACATTCCTAGTGTGTGATCGTTATTATAACGTAAAAGTCAGTCACATATGATGTGAAGAACCTGAAATGCGACCTCCTGAACAGAATTCCTCACAGAACCGGGTTAGGCTTTGGTGTAAAGCTGGATTTCACGCTGTAATGATGTCTGTCAACTAGTGCTGCGTTAGAGCCACTGTTGCTGAATTACCGACTGACACAAAAACAACCCGGATTTTCTCCGAGCCTGACAGAAATAGTCATGTGGACCTTTTTGTCGGCCAGGGCTTCGAGAAATGTTCCGATTCGCCGCTGATTCTAACCTTACATCCCGTTCCACATTTTGTGAACTTGACAATTTAGCCCGAAGGCAGTGCAGGCTGATATTAGCTAAAGGAAGTGAACCACGTCTCTCAAACTTTGCATTTAGGTAGGGAATTGTCTTTAGAAGATGTTAAAACGTTTATTTAGCTTACTCACCTCAGACTGGAGCCCGCCATGGTGGGGGAGCAGAGTCGGTGGGCTGCATCTAATTCGTGGAAGAGCCACGGTGGGCACGGCCTCACTCTTCAAACGGAGACGTGCAGAATAACCCAGTTCAAACTCCATCATGTTGGCGAAGGAATCGCGGGTAAAATGCTGGTTGCAGACTACAGCACCAGGCGGGAGCTGACTGTTATCCTGTACACCGATTGCGCGCAACCACTGGCGCCTAATTTCTAAGTCCAGTGGAAAGGAGTGCAACCCCACAGAGCTACCACAACCAACTACACTACACCTTTTAACCATACTAACACTATATGGAACACTAAACCCGAATTATTTTCCTAATAAAACTAACAGCTAAACACTAACTAAACTACAATATCTAACAGCCAAGCTGACACTAAATAAGTACTAACACGATATGGAACACTAAACCCGAACTACTTTCCTAGTAACACTAAAAGCCAAACACTAACTAAACTACAATATCTAACAGCCAAGCTAACACTAAATAAGTATTTATAACACTAAAAGCTATGCTAAAGACTATAATATGCTAATGCTATATGCTAATGCTGAACTACCGCTAACCGTCCGACACTCACTTGCAAATCCAACTCCCAACTCGCCACAAGGCGTGGCCGAGACTCTCCTTGCTTTTATAACTTTGGCACAAGAGCTGCTACGTAGTACTCTACTGGTTTACGTAGTATCTTACTCTTTAGCCATTGGCTAAAATTTATTCAAAATGTGTCAAATTCTGTGTTTTAAGCTGAAGGTGGCGCATTACTGTGGTTTTTAGGCTGAATATTTAATTTTTAAAGAAAATGCACCAAAATACTAAAATAATGAATACACACATTTAAAACACTATTAGACACTCATTTATACAGTTCATCAGCAAAAAAAAGTTAATTTAGACGTTACTTGCTCTTTAAGGGTTTACTTCCTTTGATCCGCACATTCACAGTTATTCAGTTTAGCGTCTTACCATAGTTTATGTGAAAAATGTCACAATTCACATCTTCTTTGAGGTTTGTTCTGCAGCTATTTCATACTCTGATGTCGGTCTGCCTACTGTACACTAGCTGCATGTTACTCCCTCTCTGAAGGGGCCAATTAAGCCCTCATGTGTCTCTGCTGTCAGTCTTTTGCTTCTCCGTGGGGTTTAAACGTGCTGGTTATTGTTCTTCTCTCTTTGCTCTTTTCAGGCTAATTCACATGGAGTTTTAGAAAAAATGGAAAAAGTGTCCAGTTGTTTATCTGCCTTTGACTGAAAGTGAGGCTTTGTTATTCTCCGCCACATTCTGCCTTTCAGAGGGTTGTCAACAAAACTGGGTTGCTTGCCTAAGATTGACAAAACACAATAATTCCCTTAGAGGAAGGGAATGCCTTCGTCAGAGGCATTTAGGCAGTTCACTTGTCCACCATATTGTCAGAAGGACAAAAAAACAGAGATTCTGAATATTTTTTAGAAAAATACCAACAATTATTTAAATTAAAGATGGCAATTGGGGATTGTATTGGGGCTGCAGACGTGCAAAATACTGGTAGTCTTGTGAAATTTAAAGTGCTGCACAACTCCTATTTATTGTTGACTGCTATCAGTCACACCCTGTATTCCCTGACAATGCACTTTAACTTATCTAGCACCAAAACCCATTATGTGACTGTATTGATCATGCTAATGAAGCAAAAAAGCAACCTAATTATGCAGAAGTAGAGGTCATGCAATGGCACCATTGACAGAGAGGTGACAAGGACAGGGGGGGTTGTGACTGTGTGTGTTAATATATGCATGCCTAAGCAGCACATGTTTATGTAATCTATGAGAAAGAGCTTTGCTTACCATATGTTTGTATAAATTCCCATCTCATCCCCCAAGGGTAGTCTCGTCCTTCCAAGCTCGGGCCCTCTACCAGAGACCTGGGGGCTTGAGGGTTCTGCAGTATCTCAGCTGTTTGTAGAACTGCACTTTTCTGGACTGAGATGTCTGATGTTTTTCTGGGATCTGCTTAGGTCACTCCTCCAGTTTAGGGGTTACTGCTCTGTGTCCTGATGACCACAGGCACCACTGATATCCACACTCTCCAGGCTTTCTCAAGTTCTTCTTTGAGGGCCTGGTACTTATCTAGTACTTCTCTACTTCCCTGCATTTATGTAGTGGATTGTCTTTGGGGGATCTTTGCATAAACCTTGGGTCTTGTCTGGATCTTGGCCTCTGTTGCTCTGGTGTTTAGGGCCTGTTCCTGTGCAGTGATGAGTGCTTCTGTGCTGTCCCCCAGACCAGCTCTTTTAAGTCATTTGTAGGTCTTCTTGATATCAACTACTTCAGTTATCTGTCTGTAGTACATCCCATGTAGGGGTTTGTCCTCCCACGATGGTATTTCCAGCTTCTCTTCCTCTGTTCTCCTTTGTCTGAGACATTCATTGAGCACGTCATCTGTTGGGGCCTTATACTTGATGTATTTATGGATCTTGGATGTTTCATCCTGGATAGTGGCTCTCACACTCACTTGTCCTCAGCCTCCTTCCTTACGTCTAGTGTACAGCACAGTCTCAGTGAGCTGGATTTGGGATGGGACCTCCATGCATGGTTAGGAGCTTCCGTGTCTTGAAATGTGTGGTCTGAATTTCTTTGACCATCTTATTATTCCAGCAGGATATCTGATCACTGGCAGGGCATAGCTGTTATTTGCCCAGATCTTGTTCTTGCCACTGAGCTGACTTCTTAGGACTTGCTTTACTCATTGTAGGTGTTTGGCAGTGGCTCCTTTCCTTGCAGCTTCATCAAGGTTGTCATTTGCTTGTGGGATACAAAGGTACATGTAGCTGTCCTCAATGTCTGCTATTGTTCCTTCTGGGAACGAGACCCCTTCTGTGTGGACTACACCTTCCCTTTCTTTGTCACCATCCGACCACACTTCTTATGTCCGATTGACATTCCGATATCAGTGCTGTAGATCCTGATGGTGTAGATCTGTGAGTCAATGTCTTGCTTATTCTTGGCTTACATAAGGGCTATTCGAGGTCCGGTATCCAGCACATTTTAGTGTTTTTTCTGGTGCAACACACTTGATTCAGTGGTAGAATCACTTGTGCAGCAGCTCATCAGGCTCTGCAGAAGCCTGTTAATCACCTGCTGATTGAAATCAGGTGTGCTGAAGAAGGGTTAAAACTAAAATGTGCTGGATACCAGCCCTCAAGGCCCGGAATTGAATACCCTTGGCGTACAGCTTTATGTCATCCATGTAGAGGAGGTGGCTGACTGTGGTCAGTATCCATAGCCGTCTTGTTGATTATTTATTTTCTACTTATGCAACATAAAGAGTGAGACAATATAAACCCACCACCTTTGTTTCTGCTCCGATTGTGGGCAGTATAAGGTACACCTGTGCACTACTTATGATGTCGAATCAGCATTTTGATGTGGCACACCTGTGAGGTGGGATGGATTGTCTCATTAAAGCAGAAGTGCTCACTATGAGCGTGTGCTTGCATATGTTTGTTAATGTTTTTAACCTGTTATGGGAATCTGGGGTCATTTTGTAAAGCACTTTGAATCACACTTTGTTTGAAAAGCGCTTTAGAAATAAAATTTGATTGATTGATTTGATTGACTATCACACATTTAGATTGATTTTTACGCAAAAATGTCCGCTCGACAAAACAAGGTTGGTAAGTGTAAAATGGCGAAGTCGACAAGTCAAGCAGCTGATTTGGAGCCCAGAAGATGTTCTAACAGTAAATACTGCTGTAAAATAAACTTATTAGAAATATTAGTCCTTACCCTGTACGATTTGTCACTGGACATGGTGCTGGCTGGTCACTTAACGTGTCAGCAGTGACCCAACACCCTGTTGTTGAAGCTACCACCTCTAAACACTAGATGTTGCCAAAGTGTCTGTGTTCCATATTCAACCATTAATCAACAAATAATTATAATGTGCATTGTTTTGGTCTAGTTTTATGACAGTACATGTTTTGCCACCACAAATTTATTTGTTCACTACACATTAAAATGTTCCATTTAAATGAAAAATGTGCAGTTGAACCATAAATTCATGTTTTTGTTTTGAGTCTTAAGCTTGAGCTAGTGTATCCTATTAGGGATTTGTGTCTGCAACAATGTCATTTAAAACTGGCACAACTGAACCTGTACTGTGTTTTATGTTTGACGTATTTTTATAATTACCTTTTTCATGAAGCATGCTGTTTTGTCCTGTTATGCTGTTGGAAATACAAGAAAAGTTATTAATATCAGGAGCATGATGTGTGTCCCTCTTCATAAATTTGTAACGTGAACAAAAAACACAAAATACAAAAATGTGCAGCCTTACTGGAGTAATTCATGTTTTTCACCAAAATGTCTTTTTGCTTCTCAGCAAGACTACATAGAATACAGAGTGGCTGAACATAATGAAGTGTGATAAAGAGGTGTAACGTGG